GAGATAACTATAGAAGCCTTAATAGTAATGACCATCTCCTAGAAGTAAAAACAAAGGCGGTCATCTAAATTAAAGTCGCACTCACCTTGGCACCATTTATTATACATACGTTCTCCTGTGATTCAATCGGTTCAAGCGGATATCAGCACCATCCTGCTTCGGTTGGAGTCGATGATAGTCTACAAGCTACCAAAGTGCCACCTGCGTTCTGAGTGACTATTCTACGCCCATTGGGTCTACGGGTCGTTCATTTAGTCGACACGAACAACCTGTACGGTAACAGGGCCGCTTAAGAGTGACGCCTGCGATAAATTACTTAATTATGATAAAGCGTAGATGTGGGTCTGTCAAAAATGTAGCGGTGTGCTTCGTCACATCGACTCTTCGTGAGTTCCCGCCAATCTTTCTTTCGAGCCACAAACGCGTTAGCTAAAGTAGGTGGACTTCTCAGTACGTAACTTTAAAGATATTTTGGAGGCATTTATCGTCCGTCATGCTAAGACAATTGGGTGGGACACAGCTGTCCATATGTAGCACACACGCTTGGAAAAAGCAGACGCTGCCGGATACCGCTAAACGCCCATGCTCCATTGACGGCGCTATTATCATCATCCTTTTGAAATAATCCGGGAGTGACTAGAACCGTTCGATGGACTCCAGAAATCATACGTCGTGGGTGACGGGTAGTGCAGAGACCCTTATATATTACTATTGGGCTTTCGTATTTAACGATAAACGTGCGGGGAACTTCTGCGTGTACGTTATTTTTTATCCGAGCCGGCCTCTAAAGTCAAGGGTGACTTACTCACGGTCCCAACCTATCAAATAATCGTATCCTGAGGGCATGATGCCCAAGGATCGGTTTTAATTCGCGGCAAACTTGGTATTGGGTTCCCCTGCTTTCATATTGCTCATGAGTATTACAATACTTGAGCTAGTTTATCGCAGCAGGGTATACGGTGTGGCATCTGGATAGCGCCCCTAGACAATGACGGCACACTTACAGCGCCTTAGAGACAATGGGTCGGGGAGTTTACGTAGGACTCAACTTGCTCTAGCACAAGGGATATGAGCTGTTTCTGATTTGGGTAAGTCAAGCACTCCGTCAATGATAAAAGAATTCCCCGCAGTATCATATATGTGTAAGTTGCGTTTGTTTGAATGTGGCTGCAGGATTTCTTAGCAGAAAGTTCACGGGGACGGTAAGGCCTCAAGGGTACTTACTTCATACGACGTCAAACCGATGATCCCTTGAAAGGCCGATTCGACGTGGAATGCACGGATACGACCATTATCCTGGTCAAGTAGCCACAAAGAGTATAGTAGAGAGACTACGCACCGACTGGGGATTCCCCACAAATAGCTATTCCGGCGAACACTTTCGATGGCCCCTAACCCTCTCAATAGCAAGTAGATGTTGCTATTTGGCTGGCTCCTAGGCTACTTTGACAGTAAGTAAAGAAACCGGAGGGGAGAAGACAGCAACGCGTGTCCACTCTCTGGCAAAACTTCGGATTGTAGGGCCTACTTACATACGTGCTGAGATTTCAGACTAACGCAGTCCGCTGACTCAACGAGTAGGAGGGGCACAGGACTACCTCAACGAAATTAGTTTTTTGAGTTCGAAAGAGACCTTGTGACGTGACCTAAATGTTGGTGACTTCCAGTTCCTTCCTTCTTATTCAATAAGCCCCCGTGATCGTTCAGCCATTGCTCGACTGTTTTTATTTCTATACAATGCAAGCAGCACGCCCGACAGACCCGCTATTAGACTTCAGCTTTAGTCAAACGAACGAAGCTAGCCGAGAGGAACGGTTAAACCATATCTGAGCAGACCCAGTGTTGAGGGATGATGATTGCGCATTGATTATTACCTCGGCTAAGTACGACCAAATTTCGGATCTGGCCCCCTGCCAATGAGTTTAAGTGCCATGACGCGGTTTCGCGGGTTACCCATAATAGTGATGTGAGTCTCGGCGAGGCTGACATATGCGTCACGTACCATCCGTAGATAAGGGCTTCGAGACTACATCGCAACCGATCAGGAGTGTCTCCAAGGCATATTCAAGCAAGCTCGGTCTCGTCTGCCGCATAAACCAAACACCGTTCGATCAGGCACAAGGTCCTATCTTACGCGTAGTAACTGTACGAATCGCACTTGCAAGCACTATTGTGCAGTCTCGTGACTGTTCGGGCAGGAATGCGTTGTGCGTGGCATGACAGATCAGGAATTCTGAAATGAGTTCATACGGAACTCACGTTATATGCCAGGAGCATTAAATTGTTAGGGTTCCTGGCCTGGAGAACAACGACGTCTAAAAGAGCTCTGCCAGACTGTGAAACGGAAGCTTAAGGTCCAACAATTTACAGATGAGATGCAAAAAAACGATCTTTTCTCGCCTATGCAATCCGTGGGGTCAAGTAGCACTAATATGGCCTTGGACCCCGAGTGGTTGTCACGTACCTCAGGAGGCCTATACCTAGTACGCCTGCCCGGCAGATTTTTACTACAAGAACAAGGACGACCGGCACGTACTTTATTAGGCCTAGTTAACTCAATTTAAACCGACCACGGAGAATCAGGCTACTACGGTTTATATATTTAAAGGATGTTCTCCAAGGACGCAGGCTATGAAAGTTGACCCAAAGTAAACATATGCACGGAATAGGTTACGTATCCCCATTCATTGGCCCTAGGGTGACTGTTGGGACCTAGCCTAACTACCACGACAATCAAGGCTGGGATATCCGAACTCGTCTTTGTGGAATACCTGAGTCGCACCGTTTGCTGTTTCGACCTCAGCGAAGAGAATTGCCGGTGTTGAGTATAAGCTCTAAGGAGATTCTAACCCCCCAAGATTCACAAACCATCCTGCAAGACTGTTCGCGTGTCAGCCCCCTGGAATCCCGGAGGGTTTGACGCTCCACTCATACCTGCCACCGTAGCAGTAATGCGTGAACCCAGGTCTGAAGCACAGTGGAACTCGTTTTTTCATTACCTAATTAAACGTACTAGAAAAAGCCAAAAAGAAGGGTCCAAAAACGGACTTAGGGACCACATTGTTGATGTGCTGAGTTCAGTGGAGCCGACCTTGATAATTGGGCTCCTCAGAGACATTAGTTCGCTCTCACGTGTGTATCAGGCTAGGACGGAAGCTCGGGTGAGGTGAACGGAGCAATGAAGACTACCAAACCTCGAAACGCGGACGGGACTTCGTAAAGTTGCTCGGGGACTCTCACATATCACTCTGTAAACTAGCGTCTAACTTTAGAGAGATCATTGGCTGCTAGTCGTCCGGGGTCGGGATGTACCCATGATAAAACCCGTCCTGTGATTCTCGTATAGGCGACCTGGGTTGCCGTCCTCGTCGTTCTTGAAAGCAAGTTTCGGCAATCCAGGCGAGAGTCAATTTAGGCAGTACTACGTCCTGCGTGGACCGTACTCCTTGCAAGCGCCAGGCGGCCATTGAGCAACGGCTTCGCAGACATTGCATTTATTTATCGCCAACTCCTACTGGTGTCACAAGATACCTCCTGTTCGCAAAAGAATACATCCCGCGGGGCCCCCTCTACGCACGACTAGGGCGGCTCGATGATAGATAAAGGGAGTGAGGCGCGGAAGTGTCCATTAGAGGGGTCCAGGATAATTATATATAACTCAAAAGATAGGAGAGCTGATGGGACCACGCCCTCGCACGACAAACTGGACGAAGCTAACCGAACTCGGGCGTTGCAGTGGCTCAGTATGCGCTTTTTGTTTAGTATTTATAATGGACTACGGTGGTGTATGATTTTCGTGTTCCCTGTGGACTACGATACGTCGTGGGATTTATTGGCTGCAAAGCCTTACAGTTAGCTCTAACAACGATAGAATCGCTCTGTTCCGGCAGCTAGAGTTTGACTCCCTCTAGAAGCCATCAGGCATACATAGCTTTAGGATTGAGGGATTTCCCCGTCTGTCCCGAGCTGAGTATGAATACAGGTAAAAGCATACCCGGCTTGACTTGGTCATGGGTGTATAACTCAATCAAAGGCATGGTCTAATTTATAATAAACATAATCCGGGAGAGATATTCTAAAGCAGTTCATCTACAGGATGCATAAATGCAGGAGCATAAATGTACCCGCCACCTCTGTCAGCTGCTAATTTGCACACGTCAGAGAATACGTAATTAGCCCGTATAATACCGGGCCGTATTGCATGCACCATATGTCTATTTGAGGGAATGTTAGGTACCTATCCTAGCATGGTTAATCTAGTGAGGGCTGTAGGAGTATGTAACGGCCGTCTGCGGTTCTCTTTACCGTAACGGGTTTCCATGTTAAGTTTATAGGAGCTTGCAATAGGATCGAGCGATTTAAAGGCGGTAGATATTCCTTAGAACACCACGAGTGAATAGATCCGTCTTCTCATTCGGTTGGGTTATGTAGACGCCTGAGTCGGCCGAACACCTGAAGGTTACTAAGGGAGGCACGCATGACCTAATGTGAAGCTGACAGCCGAACACCTGCGAGCCGGGGGTCTGTAAAGTATTGGGGACGACTCTTAGCCGCCAAATATAACGGTTAAGTGGGCCCTTACACTAGGCTCTACCAACAGATGAGCCCTAATGATCTCACGACTAGTTAATAAGAAATCCAGGTCAGGCCTTAAGTTAAGGCTGCATTTTTCTTTAGGAGTTCACATTGTCTCGCTGTAGATATTTAGGAAATATTGGCATTTAAACGTAGACACACTGTGCTTTGATAGAGTAGACGCCGCTCAGCTAATTGTTTTTCACTCTTACTGACTAACGGAGAGAACTAGGTCTCCCTGGTTATCGGAAGACAAGAATACGCTACTATCAAGGCCACCAGCGGACCTAGTAGTTGGGCATCAGCAAAGACACCCGACGAGACTCTCGTCGATTCACCGCCGCACGGAGACGTATATCACAGCCCGCGTGACATCGTACAAGCGGTGTGCTCCTTGGATCACATTAGTTAAGTAATGCTGGAGACTATGTCTTGAGCTGGGTAACCTTGGGGATACCAGTGTCACACTTAATATCAGAAGACATAGGATCTTGCGACGGGAGAGCCCGACTCGAAGATAGACTGTTCAGCAATACAATTGCTCACTTCGCTGATTTGCGTAGACCGCCAGCCTACCAACCGTAGCTCATACTATGCTGCGTTGTTGAATAATGATGTACCCTCCTGGGTTGAAGGCTCATTGAGCGCGGATGTTCTTCAGACGGGATGCGCTTTATGTTGTGTAATCCTGGTGTTATGCTGGCCCGAGTCATGTTACGTTTGCGCCGAGGCATAGGAGCACCATGGTTCTAGTTGGTCACACCCCTTCTTAGTTGGATCCGGGCCCGACTCGGGAGAACGTCAGTTAAGCTTAAATCGTAATATCTCGCGCGAGTTCTTCTGTGACGTTTTGGCTAGTCCGAGGCTAACGACCAATCGTCAACGTCGTGTCGGGCCGGACGTATGGCAGTCACTTGGTTCGGAAATGCATAGAGGGTCACAGAGAATTCGTAAGCCGTACTCACACCATGCTCATTTCCCTGGTGCTTTCAGCGATCTTGGCGATCGGTCCGATTGTCGTGGACGGGGTGCGGCTTCTAAGACGACCATGGCCCTTTATAACTTGATGAAGTTATGAATTCACCAAAGTAAGTAATTGCACCGAATGCTTAATCGTCTCCAACGCCCTCAACCAATAATCGACCCTATTGGTTTACAAGAGATTCGCAAAAGGCATACGGGATGCAGTATAACGATCCAATGCCGCGCGCCCTCCCATTGTCACTACCACGGTTTAGGGAAAGGCCCTAACATAGTCTCTGGTGGTGTGGATAACGCCGGGCCCTATTCAACAGGTTCGGACTTTGTAGAATTTATTAACGGTCTACGCGCATTGCGGATCTCGACGTCAGTCATATTGATTTGCAGTGTTCAGCGGTTCTTGTGCCAAACCTAGCCAAGTGGCCGTCCGGAGTGAGAGAGTAGGGGGGAACCGCGCCGCTTGGGCTATATACAGGTCGCGTACCGTAACCCTTATGCCACAATTTCGTACTAGATGCCTACTTCGACTACAACAGATTACCAGAGGCAGGCTGTGTTGTCCCGTCTTCACCGATGCGGTACACTTATGTCGCACCATAACATTTGAAGTCTCATAATTCGTGCCCTAGACCAAAAATAAAAACTACTCTAGTCGTGAGTATCAAGGATTTAGTTACGACTAGCTACAGTGTGCGCGAACTGTACGATCGCTGAGTTGTTCAGATGACGTCTTCCGTCAAATCATTGATCGAAGATTGCAGCACTCTGCGCGAGTGTCGTGATTCCGTGTGCTTTTGCTCTGCAGTAAATAACAAGGAGGTTGTAGAGGTGTGATGTTAAATAGACCCCGTTATCCTAAGCTCATCTTTCCAGTATTTTTACGAAAGGATTTTGCCAGTGTTACTCTGTTCCTCGGCTGTTGCAATGCCAAAGCGTGTGCTTTGGGACGACTATGTCGCCACACTTCCGATAGACGATAACTCAACGCGTTCACAGTTATTCCCGAGCATTGAGGACTCAGCAAGGCGCTGAACAGAGTCGCGCGGAGCACTGACGATATGGCTCTACGTGCACAAATGAGACTGGAACCCGTGGGGCTTGCGGGGAGTGTCGCCAGGATAATCTTGGAGAATCCCTATTATACGTGCACAGTGATAAGGTGGGACTTAGACGATCGTCGGCTAGCTCTTGTGCTGTCTAGAATCGGCGTTCCCCTTCTGCCGTCAATCCCCGATTGAAGTGGTATGGTCAAGTATTCGTTCGACGGCTTGCGTAATGGCTGAACGGGGATCTAATGAGTCTGTTTCGCCTGCGGTACCAACGTTAGCAATCGGAAGAAACCGGGCTGTGAGTTGTGATAGCCAGGGCTCTCGCAAGGATACCTCCAATATCATCGTACCCGTTTGAACTCCAGCCGCGGAGAAGTCATGCCGTAATGGGTCGTGCATGAAGTACTGAGTTGAGCTCAGAGACGAACGCAAGGGACTTCTTCAACCTAGCTGTACCAGGACTTTAACTGCCAAATCTTGCGCTAAGTTATGGCGCTTACTACGGGAACTGAGGCTTAAGCACTGCCTCGTAGGAATACACTGTCAAGCGATAAAAGGGGCTGCGCTTAGGTTAGAACGTGGTAAGATTGAAGGCGCGTGAAAACCTAAAATGGACCTTAGTTAAATCTCACGTCAGAGGAGACACGCTGGGTCGTATCTCACATATTCTCAGCCACTGGCGAATCGATGGCCACATATACATGACGATCTGGTCGTCGGGCTTGCCGCTCGGATAACATGCAAAGTGTGGCTACGATGAATCCGCTGAGCAATTAGTGGGTCTCGGAACTCCTCAAAAAGCGTGCGTACGATCTGCTCAAGCATTTCCGGGCTAACAATGACGCCCGACACTGCACGGGACCCAACATCCGAGTTGTCAACCTTAAGACGCTGTCGTATTTGCGACTCTAGTATCTTATAGGAGGGTCCCCCTTACGTAAGGACCTGAAAGTAGGGTGACTCCGGTCGTGGGTACGATGACGGTGAGTGGGTTTTTGCAATGAAAGCAGCTAGGAGGGCCACCCCTCGCGTCAATGAACACATCTCCGAGGCGTAGCGGCTATTGGCCGAGCGAATATAGCGTTGCCGATGGCGCAGACACCAGAAGTCTTTTGCAAGTTAGATTGCTCTAAGACGGCGCCCATGTTCCGCGAGATGCAAGGGTAGCCAGGTGCGGAGAGGGTCGATATCTACATCCTTCTGATGGACATACTTGTATATTTCAAATACAGAAGCGTTATTGTAAGGCCCCGAACCAACGCACGTCACTGTCTGGTACCGCAATTGAGGAGCACCGTATCACTTAACCAGTTGTAGTAATAAACAGATTACTGTTTCTTGGGATTGATCTTACACTGGTGCTCAGATCAATCACTCGATTGGCTTTCTCCTGTGGATGTCAGCCCAAGCTTCGCCCCGCAACTAGGCCCCTGCCGCGCTATCGCGCATAGGATTAACTCGGTCGCTGTTCTGACGCCGTCTCCCTCAGGGCTTTACTGTCTGGACGTGCTTACATTCGCTAAGGTTTATGTCCGGCCTGGTAAGCCTCGGTTGGGGTAGTGCTAAAAGCCACCCCCAATGTACTTTTGTGCCACATGATTGAGGTCAAGGAGTTCTCCGCCCAAAACAAACTGGAATGGGTCTTAGGTCCGGTATCAACAAGGAGGACGTGAAATGTTGACTCACGTCAGCTTCGTCGGTACTTATGATTGGCAATGCCTCAGTCATCTAAATCGACCTGGGTGAATGGAGTATCAGAAATCAGGTGGAAAATATGGTGATGCGTTTGGTGTCGAACAATTGGATGCGCGACGGCGCGACGACTTTGTTCGTTGTGAGAAAGTATAAGTGTGATATTAGAAAGTCAGTTCATACTATAGGATGCAGCTTCGCACGCCTCTGTGCCAAGCCAATCCACAGTATATACTACCACGTTCACGAGGCCTAGGGCAAGGTTACCAAACCCAGCCTGTTCTGTCAACAGAGCGGACCCCAAGACTGTCGAGTCGAGACTGTAGCTAATGTAAACCTTGAGTACGGTCAAGGAACCACGCATGACTCGTTACGTATAATTTGAACAACACCTAAAATGTTCAGTTTTCACCCTTCCTGCGGCGACGTACATCTCGCCCCAACAACAGCTCATCGCCGTTTGGGCTGTAGCTACGTAGCTTGATTTGGCTTCACGTGAAGAATTACTCTCTACGTACCTCCCGAACGCGTTACCAGCGAGTGGGACCACTAGCGCTATCCAAGCCAATAAGTGAAATACTTCAGAAAACAGTGTAAAACACGTGTGCGGTATTCCAACTAACTCAATTTCGTACACGTTGTAATGGAGCGCAGCAGGAAACATGCATCGTACACATAGTGATGCATCAAGAAGAGAATTCGCCCTCTAGTATCGTCACACCATGTATACGTCTCTGGTATTTCGACAACCCGAACCGTGCAGCTCATAACCCAAGTCAGAGGACTAATAGATAACGGAGACCACTGGTTACGATCTTGGAGACCCGATCATTAAGTGACTAGCTCGTTCCCACTGACAAACGCAACATTACCATTACTAGCGAGAGGCGTCATTGTTTCGCTCGCCGAGATACGCCGCGCCTATACGGGTTAGACGGTATAGAACACGGCAGGATCGGATTCACTCGCAATTCGTGTATTTAACGAACCCTGTGGATGTAAATTAGAACTCGTGTACTGCTAGGAAGCATCCTGGCCATGTTTTAAATCTTCCAAGGAGTAAATTCCACTAATATTTTTAACCGAGTTACGGCGGATTCGGGGAGACTTTCAAAAGGTGTTGTACGTTTGCTTCTACGCATGAACCCGGTTGACTGGATGCAGTGATCATCGCCGTCGATACTAAGAGTCCAGGTGGTTTCGCCCTAGCCTCTCCACCCGCACAAATCGTCGGCTCATCGAGGTTACCTTCGCAGCCGTGAGAGTAGAGGTTCTCTCAGTCTAAGTGTGGAGGTAAGTCTTGGGAACGTCTACGTCCTTAATCAACCAGTCTTCTGGATTATCGAACCACGACAAAAGTAGGTAAGCGCGTGTCCATGCATACGAAAGGCGCGGAACCAATTCTAGGGCTGCGGTACGAGGACTTCCTGTAGTCTTGAGGCAGCGCTGGCATCGCACTGTTCGCTTGGAGAGGTTGGCATTGCTCGTGAGTCTTAACCGCCTCCTATATCTATGACTTAAAACTTTGCACTCCTATTATTTACCTTCAGTGCCCAGAACCGCTCCTATGCCCGAAGTTCATGCTCGTGACCTAGTAGCCCTGCTATTCCCGTGAGGCGGATCACTTATTACAATCGATTGCAGTATAAAACTAGGCGTTATCTCCATGGCTCTCTCGCTCGCTTTATGATTCCAATTGTCTCTCGGCTAGGTTTATGGGCCTTTCAGAGGTACTATAGAATTGCAAGTCCGAGTTCGAGGGAAGTTCATACTGTGCTCGGACACAGGGCCCACAGATACTTGAGGTAAGCAACGTCAATAACTAAATGACAATCTGACGTCCCAAACATCGGAGATAAGAACACCCGCCCTATCTCCCATTTGTGGCGGTTTAAAACACGCTGTTCGATAGGAAGAGGACAGTTAATTGTGGGGTATCGGCTTTGGGCGGCCAGGATTTTTGTGCCCAACTTGAAGATCATCTTGGACCCGTCAGCCACCACCTTTCTTCTTCCGCACTCTGACACCAGAGAGATCTGGGGTGCTTCATACTTGTGGCCGAATTTTCTCATAGGCTCGGAGATCGTTGACGATTTATCTCGTCACCCCCTGGTTACGGTGCCGGTGCGCCTAGTGAACGCTATTAGGTGTCTGGGCAACAGAACCGCAACCGAGCTTGGTAGCATCACCGGCGAGAGGAACGTTTAAGCGGACTGCGATACCAGCCCCGGTGGCTCTCTTAAATGAGCGCATTAGTTATCGTAATCTTTTGATCTTAGCCTGCATTTCCGACCGTTATAGTTCGCTGGAACTGGTAACGGAATGCCACATTTACTTTAGAGCAAGGAAAGCCATCTGGGCCATAGCGCTCTTTTGAAAACTGAATCGAGACGCCTGTATCAATCTCGCAAGCCTCTGGAAACGCAAGTGAATTGCATGTAAGTCCCTTCCGACGAATTTAGTATGGAGCGCGCCACTTCAATAATAATGTACCTAAAGTGAATCTATGATCGGGATTTTTGAAGGAGAGATAGAAAAGCTCCACGGGATAGAGGAGATCGCATGACCTAGACCCATTTGGCTAGGACCCGGTGGGAGGTAACATCCCTCAACGAGATTTGCTCAAATGAAGGCGTTTTGCATATGGAGTTCACAAATGTCGGCGCCCAGCTAACTCTATAACTCAGCGAGCCTTACGATGCGCAGCTAATCTTGGGCCGTCCCTCGTGCCGGCTTTCTACACTGAACCCTGAGGATAGCTCCACGTAAGCGACACAGGATGGCCGCGTACGTACGAGTTGCCTAGAATACTCATGACCTATTCTTAAGTGACCTAGTATTCGGGTAATAACCCGTTTACGGCATTGTCCATGCCACCTAGAAAGGTTACCGATTCATAGGGTAAGGTAGATAGTCACGCGCGTTACGAGATACATCTTATACCGCTAGTTGGTACATTCATCCCGCGACGTGTAGAAAGTTACGAAGCGGTGAGAGTACCTTTAGTCCATTGCGACCTTGGCTATTGGGAATAAGGAGCCTATGCCGGTGACCAAATAATTCGCTGCGTGTGCTCATCAGGAGGGGTCCTCGGCTTATAAGATACATGTTGGCTACATGTCAATAACTAATAATGAGCCGAAGTGTTTACTCTAAATTAAACTGCAGTCGCAGAAGTATAAGGTTGTCCATCCATCATATTGCCCTTTCCTTTTCGGATTTCCTGAAACTCGCCCCCGTCGGTCAGCATCCTAGATCATGAGATGTCATTTTCAGTGAGCGCGACGACCATCTCCTTACGGGTATTTAGGTTAGCCCACTCTCCCATCCGTTAACGATTCCACCTGGTGCAGTTTTTGAACATCCTAGTGCGGTAACAGAGACGGTGACAAGTCGTCCTGACTTGACATGAAAAGCATTGGATGTCACAGTCTGCATTTAGTACGTTTATACCAGGTGCTATAAGGCTGGTAACACTTCACCCTTAGCAGCTTGAGTGGGGCCCGCTTCACGCGACTGTTTGTTTCGACCTCAAAGTAGGAGTTTACAGCTGGCGAGAAAAGGGTAGTTAATCAATTTGGTCGACTCTTACCTTATCGTGACACGTGCCCGCGTTAGGTGAGGGGATAAGTTTCTTAACAATTGCCATACCGGCCGCCTTCCTAGACACTGGGTGGGGGTAAGGTTG